CCAAGACCTCCCCCACAATAGCACTATTCCACCTACTCTTTGCTCTCAATCCAATTTTAAATACTTTTATTTGGAAGCGGACATTTTTTGGAACTTGAGCAGCAGCTCAGAAATGTTAAACAAATACCCCACTGTTTGCTGAGAACTTAAGTCAATAATGATTTTATTATTCAGGCAAATAAGAGCTGCAACTCCGGTCATCTGAGCTGGCTGACCAGCGTCCAGCTCTGAAATAGCAATTTCAATGGTCTGTTTTTCTGGGGACAGGGCAAACTGGGGAGATCTGAGGCTGCCCAGTGAGGCTCCTCCAGGAGCCTGACAGGGATTAGGGGTTCGAGAAAGAGCTCAAAAGAAGGAGCACCACAGGGGAGCACAGACAAGACTGCTACTGCTCTCTCTTGATAGTTTCCTTCCTCTCCCTGGCTGCCCTCTGTACTAACAGAAGGTTAGTACTCAAAAGCAACCTTCCAGGGCAAGAAAAGCTGCATTGTTTAAACACTTGTTCCTCCAGCTTTCATCCACCTCCTTTGTTTCCTTTCCACAAATTTCCGTGTTCAGTTTTTCCCCTGGAGACTCAGGCACTGCTGTGGCTCCCACAGTCACCCTGTGGAGAGATGATTGATTGTGTACAGCGTCCCAAGTCTCTCAGAAGCACCACTTTGAACTTCTCCCTGTCTGCTGCGCCTTCCCCCAGTGTGACTCTCAGCGTGTCTGCAGTGACTTATAACCTTTGGCAGACGCCTCAAAGCAGGCTGTGTCCGCCTGGTATTCCTTGACATGTCCCCCTCCTTCCGTGCAGCTCTCCAGTTGCATATAAAGATAAAATGAGGGAACTGTCAGTCTATCCTTCCTGCCCAATCAAAATCTTCAATCATTGTCACTCCTACTAATTCAGAATGTAAACTTAACTGGATTTCTTGTTTTGTTTTGTTTGAGACAGAGTCTTGCGCTGTCACTCAGGCTGGAGTGCAGTGACTCGATCCTGGCTTATCACAAACTCTGCCTCCCAGGTTCAAGCAATTCTCCTGTCTCAGCCTCCCAAGTAGCTGGGATTACAGGTGCACATCCCACACCCAGTTAATTTTTGTATTTGTAGTGGAGATGAGGTTTCACTATGTTGGCCAGGCTGGTCTCGAACTCCTGACCTTAGGTGATCCACCCGCGTTGGCCTCCCAAAGTGCTGGGATTACAGGCATAAGCCACCATGCCAGCCAAACTTAACTGTTAATTGTGACTTTTTCGGAAGACATATTAAACTGGTAATAATAACAATATACTGATATCCATGGAGGGTTTACTATGTGCTCTGAATAGGGTACCCATCTAATCTACTGTCTGAATTGTGATACTTTTGAGAGTGAGAAGGAATACTACTAGTAATTAATCCAGGACAGCAGCATACATAGGGAAGGTCCTAGGCAAACTGGGACATATGGTTTCATAGCTGGGAACTTAAATCAATAATGATTTCATTATTCAGGCAAATAAGGCTGCAACTCTGGTCACTGAGCTGGTTGAACTGTTCTAGATGCTTTACCTGGATAATTTTATTTAGTTCCCGCAGTAACCCTTTGAGCAAGGTGCTTTAATTTACAGATAAGGAAACAAATTACAGAAGATCAAAAATCATTTATCTTTAAAATACTAAATCAGGAATTTTGTGTGTAAATCTGTACTCATTCAGAAAAATATCAGTCAATATTACAGGAGTGATTAAAAAGGTGAACCAACTCCACATCCCTCTTTAAATCCACCCCCAATATACATATACATTTTAGTTATTCTTTATTATTGTTTGGTGAGTTATCCAGCCTGTCTGTTTTACAGAGCATGGAGCTGGGGCCAGGTGTGGTGGCTCATGCCTTTAATCCCAGCACTTTGGGAGGCCGAGGTGGGCGGATTGCTTGAGCTCAGGAGTTTGAGACCAGCCTGGGCAACATGGTGAAACCCTGTCTCTACTAAAATACAAAAAATCAGTCCGGCCTGGCAATGTACGCCTGTAGCCCCAGCTACTCGGGAGGCTGAGGCAGGAGAATTACTTGAACCCGGGAGGCAGAGGTTGCAGAGAGCCAAGATCATGCCACTGCACTCAAGCCTGGGTGACAGAGTGAAGCTCCTTCTCAAAAAAAAAAAAAAAAAAAAGAAAAGAAAAGAAAAAAAGAGAAATTACAGTTGTCATACATGTTGAATTACTTAAGAAATATTCTGAGAGATGAATGTCACCTTTTAATATGTGTAATGAATCTAAATATAGTAGCTGTGATTTAATGCACAGGAAGTGAGCATTAACAGGTCACAGGTCATTCCATACCAGTTATTTTTCCCCAATGATCCAGACAACAGAGGTGATGCGCACATTCTCAGAACGCTGTTTCAGAAGTCCCGGTTGTAGAGGTAGGTTCCATTGTTGAAAGGACCTTCCTCTTCTGTTCATAATCTTGGTCAACTTCCTTGTTTCTTGGCTGCATCCCTTTCCATTTTGATACCTACTTCCCTTCCTTTCCACCAGTCTTTTTTTCTTTTTTCTTTTTAAAGAGACAGAGTCTCACTCTGTCGCCCAGGCTGGAATGCAGTGGCACGATCTCAGTTCACTGCAACCTTCACCTCCCGGGTTCAAGCAATTCTCCTGCCTCACCTCCCGAGTAGCTGGGATTACTGGTGCCTGCCACCACACCGGGCTAATTTTTGTATTTTTAGTAGAGATGGGGTTTCACCGTGTTGGCCAGGCTGATCTTAAACTCCTGACCTCAGGCGATCTGCCCACCTGGGTCTCCCAAATTGCTGGGATTAGAGGCGTGAGCCGCTGTGCCCAGCCTCCACCATTCTTACAGGTAAGACAATCTCCTGTACCTTTGCTTGTGAGCTGGACCCCATCTTTGCCCGGTTCCTGAGACTGTGCTGTATCTCTGTCCTGTATTTCCAGTGCCTTTTTCTGTATTGACTCCTTAGGATATGGACAATCTCATGTTACCTTCTACTCAGCCATCCCAAGCTACTTACCAGTTGGCTCCTTCTCTTCATTGCCAAGCTCCTTGTTGACTCTGTTTCTTTAGCTCTAATATTCTCTTCAACTGGAAAAAGGACACCGTGAAACTACTCTAGCAAAGAATCCAGTGACCTCCTGATTTTCACATCTAATCATCTAATAAAACCTTTACTTCTTAAGCATTTTTTAAAAATTGTAAGGTACCTTATATAACACACACAGTCTCACACACACACGTATCAGAGTGTCAAAACCACACATGTAGACAAAGTTTAAAGAATATCAATGAGGCAGACACCCTTTTGACTTCTGCTAAGGTCAGAAACAGAACAATGGCAGTGTTTCTGAAGCTCTCAACCATGCGCTCTTTCCTGACCACAGCACTTTCTTTCCCTCCAGAAAAAAAAATATATATTATGCTTGAGATAACAATTTCCTTTCTTCTTTTTATAATTATATCACTTATGTATCCATCTCTAAACATTACAGTTTAATTTCACCTGTTCTTGAATGTTATATAAATAGAATCTCATTGTATGTATTTTTTGTGACTGAACTACCTTATGTTTATTCAATCCATTTATGGTGCTACGAGTGGATATATTTTGTTCAATTTTATTGCTCTCTAAAGGATTCTAAAGCATAGATATGCTACAATTTTTATCATTTCTATGTTTTCATTCTCCAGTTTTCTGAATTCTTACGTTTTTGAAGTATCTCTTGTAAACAACATAGAGTTAGATTTTCCTCCATCAGTGTTGTGTTTTAACTGGTCCATTTATATTTATTGCAATTATTCATCTTCATCTTCCTCAGTGTATATCTATCATCTATTTAGTCTTTTCTGTTTCTCTCATTTGTCTGGTATTTCTTTTTCCTCTCCTGTTTTCCTTTCTTTTGGATTAGTTGTATATTTGTATATCACTGTATAAAAGCCATTAAGGTTAATCACAGATGTTTAGTTCTCTTGTTCCAGGCACTTAGAAGGATCCCACTTCTTTGTCCCTTGTACTTAGATGTGACTACATGACTTTCTCTGGTCAATGATGTGTGAGTAGAAGACATGTAGGTCCCTTCTTGCAGCAGGATCAAGAGCTGGCCTGCAGGTTGCCATGCTTCTTCCCTTTGCCTCTGTTATTGCGGAATTGTGTGTCAGGATGAAGCCTGTGTCAGTCTGTGTTCCCAAGTGACTATGGTAGGGAGAACCCCTTGCTAGACCATGACGGACATGTAGGAGAAATGAGTAATAAATCTTATGCCACTGACATTTTGAGGTTGTTTGTTACTGCAGCACAACTAAGCCTATTCTAACTAATTCACATTCAACTTATTCTCTCTGCTAGTTTGGAAATGTATACATGGTGTCTCTATTCCTTTAATTGTTTATCCTAGAAATTTCAACATGCATACTAAACATATAAACATCTAAAGTTAATTAATATTTTAAGTCATCTCTTGTACTTGACTCAATTTTTTTTCTTTCTTTTTTTTTTTTTTTAGAGACAGGATCTTACTCTGTCACCTAGGCTGGAATGCAATGAAGTGCATGAAGAAGATCATGGCTCACCGCAGCCTCTAATTCCAGGGCTCAAGTGATACTCCTGCCTTGGCCTCCCAAAGTGCTGGAACTATAGTATGAGCCATTGCACCTGGCCCACTTGACTCAATTTATAACATTCTCAAATTGTTACCACTGCTGTATGTTTTAATTTTATGTTTTTAATTCTACAAGACATTACTGCTTTATGGAGTCAAACAATTTATATTTGCTCACATATTTATTTGTTTTTTATTTTTATTTTTTAATTTTTTTAGATGTAGTTTCACTCTATCAACCAGGCTGGAGTGCAGTGGTGCAATCTCAGCTCACTGCCACCTCTGACTCCTGGGTTCAAGTGATTCTCCTGCCTCAGCCCCCCAAGTAGCTGGGATTACAGGTGTGCACTACCACGCCTGGCTAATTTTTTGTATTTTTTAGTGAAGATGGGGTTTCACCATGTTGGCCAGGCTGGTCTCAAACTCCTGATCTCAAGTGATTCACCCACCTCAGCCTCCCAAAGTGCTGGGATTACAGGCATGAGCCACTGTGTCTAGCTGCTCACGTATTTATTTCTCATGCTTCTTTTGTTGTTGTTGTTGTTGTTGTTGTTGTTGTTTAGTTTTTGTTTCCTTAGGAGACAAGGTCTTGCTAATTTCCCCGGTTGGATTTGAACTCCTGGGCTCAAGCAATCCTCCCACTTTGGCCTCTTGAGAAGCTGGGATTACAGACACATACCACCACGCCCAGCTCTATCATGCTTTCTGTGTTTCATTCTTTCCTGAACTTCAGATTTCCATCAGGTAGCTTTTCTCTTCAGCCTGAAATATATCCTTTGAAATTTCCTTTAGTGAAGGTCTACTAGTTATAAACTCTATTAGGTTTTGTTTTTTGTTTGTTTCATTTTAAAGTGACATTTTTGCAGGTTAGATAATTTTAAGTTGGCTGTGCTTTTCTTTCAGTAGTTTGTTTATTTTATTTATTTTTTGAGACATAGTCTCGCTCTGTCTCCCAAGTGGGAATGCAGTGGTGTGATCTTGGCTCACTGCAACCTGGGTTCAAGCCATTCTCCTGCCTCAGCCTCCCGAGTAGCTGGGACCACAGGCGCCTGCCACCACACCTGGCTAATTTTTGTATTTTTAGTAGAGACAGTGTTTCACCACGTTGGCCAGGCTGGTCTCAAACTCCTGACCCCAAGTGATCCACCCGCCTTGGCCTCCCAAAGTGCTGGGATTACAGGCATAAGCCACTGCACCCAGCCAGTAGTTTAAACATAATAGTTACTGTTTTCTGGTTTACCTAGTCTCTTGAGAAGTCAGAAATCAGTCTGTCATTTAATTGAAAGTAATCTTAGAAACCTTGGAGTTTATCTTTCTTATTGTACTAAATATTCCTGTTGTAACCCTCGTTTTTATAAATGAGTTGCCTAAGCAGAATCCCTAGAGTCATCACTTCCCAGGACTTCAGCACTTCTGCTGTTGGACATTCCATTAGTAACAAAGGAAGATCCTGCAAGTCGCTTTATTGTCCTCTTTGCTATAACCTGGGATTCAAATGTCAACACTTTTGGGTATCCATGAACATTTATGGACAAAGTCTTGAAACTCAGAAAATAGGATACAGTCATAAAACTTTTGAGGTTAAACAAGAATTGATATTTTAAAAATTATTATTTCTTATATCTTATACTTGATATATGAAAATAAAAGCTCAGTCTATTATATTTTAGTTTGTCTGGGTTTGAATATCGAATATATTGCTTTCTAGCCTGAATATAAACGAGTTAGTGAACTTCTCCAAGCTTGCTCAAGTGTAAAGCAGACATAATACTAGCATCTCTCTCTTAGTGTTATTGGGAGTGTTCGAAGAAAAATTAAATTGCTACACAGGACAATGTAATCCTGTGTTCTATTTGACTTCCTCCTTTCTCTCATTGCCCTAAACCAATCAATCACCAAGTTCTATAGATTTTTCTCTCTTTCATATCTTTAACTTCCACTGCTTTTCATTCCCATGGCTTATTTCACGCCATCCACATTTCTCCTAGATCATTTACTGTAATTGCCTCTTTGATAATCTCTCTGCTCCCAGGGTGGTCTCCACTTTAATCCATTCTCTACTTTACTGCTGGAGTGATCTTTTTAAATAATAAATCTGACACCCTATTTAAATGCCTTTATTCCTCAGGATTAAATTCCAGTTCACCCCTTTCCTTGGTCTGGTCCTTCCTTGCTCCCTTTTCGAGCCCCTGTAGCCTTCTACTTCTGCCACACAAGCAATCCAGGGCTTTCAGGGCCCAGTGAGCCAGGTCCTCCTCGTTTACAGGCCATTGATGTGCTACTGGATTTGTCAGGAAAGTTCGTTCCCTCAACATTACTTAACTCCTACTCATCATTGGGAATGCACTCAGCTGTGACTTGCTCTAGGAAAAATTTCCTAAACCCATCAGAGTAGGGTAAAGTGCTCCTTTGGGCTCTTTAGCACCAGGAGTCTTTAGTCCCCTCCCCTCCTTCCCTCCCTCCCACTCTTCTTCCCTCCCTCTCTCCCTCCCTCCCCTTTTTCTTTCTCTCTCTTTCTTTCTTTTTTTTTTCTCTCTCTCTCTTTCTTTCTTTTTCTTTCCTTTTTTTTTTTTCAGAGTTTTGCTCTTGTTGCCCAGGCTGGGTGCAATAGCACAATCTTAGCTTACTGCAATCTCCGCCTCCCAGATTCAAGTGATTCTCCTGCCTCAGCCTCCTGAGTAGTTGGGATTACAGGCATGTGCCACCACGCCTGGCTAATTTTGTATTTTTAGTAGCGACAGGGTTTCTCCATGTTGGTCAGGCTGGTCTCGAACTCCTGATCTCAGGTTATTCCCCTGCCTCAGCCCTGCAAAGTGCTGGGATTATAGGCATGAGCCACTGAGCCTGGCCTACCTCTAGGAGTCTTTCATGTAGCATTCATAAACATATATAAACAAATATATGTTTATTTGTTTATATTCCTCAATAGACTGCAAAATCACTGAAGGTAGGAAGTGTGTCTCACTCACTCTTGTATCCCTAGTTCCTAACACAGCCTCACACTGGGGAAGCCCTCAATGAATGTTGGATAAGTAAAGGTACTGATGACAAACTATTAGCACCCGAGTCCTGACCCGTACTTATGCAACTGATTTTCTGTTTCAGGGGACAAAATTTACACTTGTGAAATTTCCTGTTACTGGATATAATCTGCTGCTTCAGACTGGTAAGAACTTTGGATCTTGATTCCATCATCCATGTGATTTGCTCTCCCTGACTGAGTATCATGTCATCTATCGTTGTGATGAGATTTTGCATCTTCATCCAAGTCACCTGAAAATATGACGAACAAGACAGAGGCCTGTGGAGACAACTCTGTGTCACAGCATCACGTGATCTGGTTTAACCAGTTAGGAAGGTAGTCATTGTATTGAGAGACCTTATTGAGTGCTTTGCAGAAGTAAAGATGCAAAATACTCTCCACCTTTCTTAACTCTACCTAAGGCAGGAGGTTAGATTAGTCTAACATGATTTCCATGTGAATCTATGCTGTTATTTATTATCATGTTCACTTCGAATCCAAACGGTAAATCACGATTTTTAATAGACTTGCCTGGAATGTTTCCTGGAATTGGTGGATTGTTTCTGGTTCCACCTACTTCTCATTTGTTTCCACTTCCTCTGGCCCTTTAACAGGCCAGAGCACCCAGGTATCATATCCAATCTTGTCTTTATAAGTATCTTAGGGGATCTCTCAGGAATATCCCATTCATGTCCTTTTGTCCCAGTCATTCTTGTGCTCATCCTCATGTCTCTGGTTTTGAATACTTTGCAACATACTTGTGAAGTGGTGTCCTTTGTCTGGGGTAAATACCCGAGGTTCATTGTCTTGCGTCAAGGAAATCAAGAATTCAGACAAAAGAAGTGGGTTTAGGGCCGGGCGCGGTGGCTCACGCCTGTAATCCCAACACTTTGGGAGGCCGAGGCGGGCGGATCACCTGAGATTGGGAGTTTGAGACCAGCCTGACCAACATGGAGAAACCCCGTCTCTACTAAAAATACAAAATTAGCCAGGTCTGGTGGCATATACCTGTAGCCTCAGCTACTCAGGAGGCTGAGACAGGAGAATCGCTTGAACCTAGGAGGCAGAGGTTGTGGTGAGCCAAGATCACGCCACTGCACTCCAGCCTGGGTGACTGAATAAGACTGTCTCAACAGCAACAACAACAACAACAACAACAAAACAAAACAAAACAAAAACAAAACCACTTCCTTAAGAATTACTCATTCCTTGGGTATCTCCCATGTATATATGAAATACACAAGTAAATAAATTTAAGTTTGTTTTTCTCCTTTTAATCTGTCTTTGGTTTCAGGGCTCCTCTCCAACTAAGAACTCATAAGATTTCAGAAAAAAAAAAAAAAAAAAGGCTTCCCCTTCACCACACTGCCTAATTTTAACCTATACATTTTTAAAAACCTTTGTTCCATAAATAAAACACGTGTGAATCAGATGAGGTATGGCAAGGATAGCCAGTAATAAAACATAAAACAAGGAACTAAAGAGGTAGACTTGGCTGTGGGTGTGTTGAATGCTGTACCTTCACCTGAAATGCCTGAGGCCAAAAAACATTTCAACTATTCAGTCATCTCCCTTCTCTTGAATTCTAGGCTTACCAAGCAACCTTCTAATTAAAATCTTAGATTGCATTGGTCATCCCAACATCTGTATTTCAGCAAGTGTGACAGTTATTCTTTACATAGTAAAAAGTATCATTCTAGGTTATATCTGAGTAATCTATGAGTTTGGTTAAACTCACTTTTTTTTTTTTCCCCTAAAAACAGCATCACAACTTGAGCCAACAAACCTGGGCACCATGATATGTGATGAATAATTCACCAGGTAAATGCTATATTGTGAATAGTATTACACTAAGTCAGAAGGCATTTTATGTTGCTATCCTTATTTTGTCTGCTTTCAAACATTAACAATTTCCAAATAAAATATTTTTATAACATAGGTCACATTTAGTTTACGTGTGTGTGTGTCTTTATCCTCCTTTTCTTCAGAGCACAATTGTCTAATTGATATATAACTACTTCAAATATAGAACTATTTTCAAAAAGATAATCATATATGTGCCTTTGTATCTGATCATTTCTATACTCTTGCTATAACTCTAGAAGCTTAAAAATGATCTTTGGTTTTTTTCTCCTACTTAATTACTTACAGAAAATGCTACAGTAGTTTCTTTCTTTTCAAATTCCCTAACCACCATTTTTTCTCATATCTTATTGATTTGGCCAGGACTTCCAAAACAATATCAAATTATAATAAATATTACTGGTATCATTTTCTGATTCTAATTTTAGGAGTATATGTCTAGGTAGATAAATGCTGGTAAGTCCTAGATACTCTTTCTGACTTTTTTGTGGTCAGCTTGGCTAATTGATTACAAAACCCTAAGGGTAACTGCCTGACTGACTAGATTTGGCTCATTAAATGAAACCCACTAGTCATGCGGATCTAAATACCCTTAGTATAGTAAGGAAACGTTTTTTCTATTCCTTTAAAAGATCAACATGCATGGCCGGGTGTGGTGGCTCACGCCTGTAATCCCAGTACTTTGGGAGACCGAGGTGGGGCGGATCACCTGAGGCTGACAGTTCGCGACCAGCCTGACCAACATGAAGAAACCCCATCTCTACTGAAAAAATACAAAATTAGCCGGGCATGGTGGTGCATGCCTGTAATCCCAGCTACTTGGGAGGCTGAGGCAGGAGAATAGCTTGAACTCGGAAGCCGGAGGTTACAGTGAGCCGAGATTGTGCCACTGTACTCCAGCCTGGGCAACAAGAGCAAAACTCTGTCTCAAAAAATAAATAAATAAATAAATAAACAAACAAACAAATAAATAAATCAACCAACATGCAACATACTTCTTCAATCTTATCAAGTCATTTGTTTTAAATAAAGTCTCTTGAAGTGATTGCGATTTCCAAGTACTTCTGATTATCAAGACTGTCTGTATTTCTGGGTTTTGCTCTTTCTTTTCTCGAGAAGGTATAAACCAAAAATAAAATTCTAACCCCCCCAACCATCTGAATGGACCCCTCCTCTCAGGCAAAAGCATTCTAAAGTTAACCTGAAAAATTAGTTCAGGCCATCATGGGAAGAGGGAGTTGGACATGCCTCATTATACCCACCTCCCTTTTGGAATTCAGGCTCAGCTGACCAGCCTTAACATCAACACAGACTTTAAGACTAATACAACAGACTCTTTAAGTCTGATAAGAAACATTTACAATCTATTGTCTCTGAAGTCTGCTACTGGACACTTCATCTGCATGACAAAATCTTGGTCTCTACAACTCCTTATCATAACCCAGACATTCCTTTGTATTGACTCCAGGTCTTTATTTTACTTATTTATTTTCAGACGGAGTCTCACTTGTCCAGGCTGGAGTGCAGTGGTGCGATCTTGGCTCACTGCAACCTCCACATCCCAGGTTCAAGCGATCCTCCTGTGTTAGCCTCCTGAGTAGATGAGACTACAGGTGTTTGCCACCACACCCAGCTAATTTTTGTATTTTTAGTAAAGAAGGGGGTTTCACTATGTTGGCCACGCTGGTCTCAAACTCCTGACCTCAGGTGATCCACCCACCTTGGCCTCCCAAAGTGCTGGGATTATAGGCATGAGCCACTGTGCCTGGTCAAGGTCTTTAGATAACAGGTTTTTTTTTTTCTTTGAGACACAATCTCTGTTATCCAGGCTGGAGTGCAATGATGCCATCTTGGCTCACTGCAACCTCCACTTCCTGGGTTCCAGTGATTCTCCCACCTCAGCCTCCCAAGTAGCTGGGACTACAGGTGCACCTCATCATGCCTGCCTAAGTTTTGTATTTTTTGGTACAGACGGGGTTTCATCATGTTTCCCAGGCTGGTCTCCAACTCCTGACCTCAAGTGATCTACCCACCTCGGCCTCCCAAAGTGCTGGGATTACAGGCATGAGCCACTATGCCCAGCCGATAATAGCTATTTCAACCAATTGTCAATCAGAAAACGTTTGAATCTGCCTATGACCTGGAAGCTGACCGCTTCCAGTTTTCCTGCCTTTCTGAACTGAACCAGTGTACATCTTACATGTATTGACTGATGGCTTATGTTTCCCTAAAATATAGAAAACCATGTTGAAGCCTGACCACCTTGGGCGCATGTTCTCAGGATCTCTTGAGGGCTGTTTCATGGGCCATTGGTCACTCACATTTGGCTCAGAACAAACCTGTTCAAATACGTTACAAAGTTTGACTCTTCCTCAACAAAGGAAAACAACTAAGATGGAGGTGGTGGTGGTTTTAGTCCCTACTGCTGCTATGTGCACCCTCCCACCAACCTCCCAGCAGCAGCTCATTCTCACAAGGCTCTGCATAAAAACATTTCTCCTCCCCCTACTTTTTGCAGCTTATTGCTTTAGAATTCCTGTGGTATTTGCCAACCTCTTTCTTGTCTCAAAGTATGTGAGGCCCTCTAGTGGAAACTTGGAGCCTCCTGGTATTTGGGAGTTAAGTATCCCCAGGTCTTCAAAGTGAGATGCCAAACTCATTCCAGAACTCTGGGTCTGAATTAGAAACATCTAGATTTCCACTTGTCCATGATATAAACTGTAAGATTCTCCCTGAGGCCTGAAAGCTTGAAGGGATGAGTAACTCCTCCCTTCTCAGACCTGTCCCAAGGCGCAAGGCTACTTGAAACAGCAGTGTGTGCCAGCAAGATAGCAGAAGCAGGAAGAGAGCCGGCTGGAAGACACGTACCCTGGCGGGAAGACATGTACCCCTGAAGATCGAGAAAGAGGCCATCCAGGTCCTACGTAGCAGTCACATCAAACTGGGACACTTCCTGTTTACTGGAGACCTTAAAACCCCTGCCCCATCCTCATTTTGGTGCTGACACCATTTTAGGCCTCAGTCCGCCTGCACCCAGGCGCTCATTAAAACAGTATGTTGCTCCACACCACCTCATGTTGTCTGTTGGCGCGTTCTAAGGTTTTGAACCGATACAAGAAACTTCAATAAGCAATGGCTATGAAACAAAAGATAAACAGTAAGATAAAGTCCCAGAAAAGGACACATTAAAAACCTTTCTCCTGTTGCACATTTTGAGAGGAGGGATTTTTACACAAATCAGGACCAAATGTAGAACCTTAAGATGAGTTAGCGTTTTTCTGAGGATGATGTGTTCCTGGGACTCCCTAATCACTTTAAAGAACTAGAAAATACACTGCACATGGTGGCATGTGCCTGGAATTGCAGCGACTTGGGAGGCTGAGACGGGAGTATTGCTTGAGCCCAGGAGTTTGAGACCAGCCTGGGCTACATAATGAGACCCTGTCTCTTTTTTTTTTTTTGAGACGTAGTGTCGCTCTGTAGCCCAGGCTGGAGTGCAGTGGCCGGATCTCAGCTCACTGCAAGCTCCGCCTCCCAGGTTTACGCCATTCTCCTGCCTCAGCCTCTCAAGTAGCTGGGACTACAGGCGCCCGCCACCTCGCCCAGCTAGTTTTTTGTATTTTTTAGTAGAGACGGGGTTTCACTGTGTTAGCCAGGATGGTCTCGATCTCCTGACCTCGTGATCCGCCCGTCTCGGCCTCCCAAAGTGCTGGGATTACAGGCTTGAGCCACCGCACCCGGCGAGACTCTGTCTCTTAAAAAAAATAATAACAATTGGTAAATAAAATCTGTTAATCTGGTGTTACTTGTAGTATTTTTATCAAAGGAGGTACCCCAGAGAATGTATCTCACACAAAGTATCATCACTACAATCTAGTCTAACCCAGAACACAATTTCAGACACCATTACTAAGCTATTATCCCCAAACAGAAAGACAATGAAAATCTAGGCTGATCTAACTATGGCTATTGCCACGTTTATTGTCTGATTCATTGTTTACCTTGGACTTCGGATCTATAGTGTTGCACTAACAAGTAAACTTCAATTTAATTTAAGAAAAATGTGTTTACCCACTCTGTTCCTAGAACTATATTTGATTCATGTGAGAAGTACATAGGTAAGTGTAAGACTTAATGCTTGTGTTCATTGGTAAGTGTAAGACTCAGTTTTTGTGTTCATTGCAATGCAATTAGTTGTATGTCAAGTAAGGGTAAAAATTTATTTTCAATTCAAGAGATTATGCCCAGTAAGAGCCCCCCACCAAGATAAGAAAGATGCACTAGAATACATTTATATTGTCTTGTTCTCACCGGCTAGGAATCATTCATTATGTAAGATCTTTGTGTATCTGAAACCTATTTTCAGTCTTTCTGCCATTAAGCATTGCAGCTTCTACTTCTAGTATCACAGAGTACTGCATGATTCTGGGAAGACATTCAGAACCTGTTCTGCTGTGAGAGGACACACGAAAGAAATGAGCTCACCTTTCCCTCAGTAGAGAACTCTTTGGTAGCTAGAACCGTGGTCAGATCTTTTTCCCCAAACACAGCACCCAAGCAGCCCTATGGATTTGGGGGATTTGCTTGTCTTTTTCACTTGAGTTCAGAGAATTATGGAACAAATTAATTTTAAGAGAATTTAGAGATAATCTGTACTAACAGCCTCATTTTAAAATCTTTTTATTCCCTCCTTTATTTTACACATGAGATAAAGTAAATTGGTGAAAGTAAATTTCTGGGTTTTTTTGAGACAGAATCTCACCCTGTTGCCCAGGCTGAAGTGCAGTGGTGTGATCTTGGCTCAATGCAACCTCTGTCTCCCGGGTTCAAGAGATTCTCCTGTCTCAGCCTCCTGAGTAGCTGGGATTACAGGCACCCACCACCATGTCTGGCTAATTTTTGTATTTTTAGTAGAGACGGGGTTTCACCATGTTGGCCAGGCTGGTCTTGAACTCCTG